CCAAACTGCCCCTCCCCTGGATGAAAGGCCTTTTCCTCATTTATCTATATCACTGTATCCTTGAACCCCCTAGAGGTTCAGAGTAAATGCCTTCCTCCAAGCTGTCTCATGACTCCCAACCCACCACAAGTGTCCCCTTTTAGTCCCAACTTCTATCACTTAGTGCTGAACCCCAGATGCATCTGAGCATCTGCCTGGGCTTGAAATGGGTGTGGTATCCCCCAGGGACGCAGCCCCCCTCTATCTCTGGAGTTCGAGACCGAGCTTTCTCACGTTCTTTATCCAGCATCTCAGCACCTGACAAGTAGGTTGGACACAGGAAAGGATTCAACCAGGTGCCTTGGCTCAGTGAGAAATCAATCAACTCTACCCCCTTATGCAGAAGGAAGCTGGAAAGTCCTTGCCAAGACCCCACAGTCACCTTTTCAGCTTCAGATTGTTCTCAACTAGTAGTGAGTTTTTAAAAAAATATTTTTAGTTGTAGATGAACATGCTACCTTTATTTCATTTTTCATGTCATGCTGAGGATCGAATCCAGTGCCACACATGTGTGAGGCAAGAGCTCTACCACTGAGCTACAACCCCAGCCCCAGTAGTGGGTTTTTTAATAAATGTTTCAAAACCAACTCAGCAGGGAGAGCACCCCTGATTTGTAGTGTTTGCCAAGAGCTACCAATGTAATGTCACTGAAAATAGAGTTTGGAAGAGATGCTAGGTAGCCTTTCATTTTTTTTTTAAACATTATATGTTATTTACTGCTGTAGTCATACATGGGACTCATCCTGAGAAATGTGTCCCTACACAGTTTCCTAACACAAATATCATAGAATGTATTTACACAAACCTAGGGGATGCAGCCTACAGCCAGCGAGGCTTAAACCTGTACAGCGTTACTGTACTGAATACTGTAGACAACACATACAATGATATTTTTGTATCTAAATATACCTAAAAGGGGTTGTTTTCACCAGCATCACCACAAACATGAGAAACGCATTGCACCAGACGTTATTATGGCTACAATACCACTAGGAGGTAGCAATGAGCAGCCCCTTTATAATCTTATGGGACCACTATCACATATGTGTTCTGTGGTTGATCCAAATGGTATTGGTACATGACCTCATACACTAAATGCCATCATGTGATATTCCTACCATGCTGATTTATAAATACCTTGAAGGGTATGGATAATAACATGTAGTAAATAATTGGAAAGTGATCCACTTTGTGTATTTATCACCTTTGTTTTTTTTTTTTTTTTTTTAGAAAGAATTTTTTTTTAATATTTATTTTTAGTTCTTGGCGGACACAACATCTTTTTTTGTATGTGGTGCTGAGGATCGAACCCAGGCCGCATGCATACCAGGCGAGCGCGCTACCACGTGAGCCACATCCCCAGCCCCACCTTTGTTTTTAATATATTCAAACCCACAATATATATTGTGGGTTTATGTAGTTTATTTTTATTGGCCATTTAATAAGAAGCTCATAAAATTTTAAAATATTTACTGATCAGCCCTAGTGAGCTAGAAGAGCCAACCTTCCTAGGGTTCTGACCTTCAGAAAATCAGGGGACTTCTCAGAGTCTCTTGCCCAGTAACCTTGTGTGAGTGTGGGTGGGTCAGAGGGAGTGAATGTCCCAGTGGCTTCTGGTGGCCACAAAACCTGAAGCAGGGGAAGTCCCTCTACAGTTATACACACAGACACACGCCCACATCTGGAGGACCAGGGTCCAGTCCAAGGCACCAGAATTGGGGGGAAGACCACAGGATAAGGGGGACCCAGAATTCCCAGGTACTAGGCTCCCAGCCACCCATCTTGGCCCTGGATCTTAGGCCTGTTGCCAACTTTGGGAACCTCAGGTTCTTCTTTGTGACACGGGGTCACTTACCACCTGAGCTGCCCATTGTCTGAAGCTCTGGTGAGGATGAAACAGAAAGGGCTGTGTGAGCAGAAAAATCCCTTGTGTTATGAGTCGGGGCTATACAGACAAATTCTCCAGGGGGTGGTCACTTACTAAGTGCCCATGGGCAACTGATTTGGCCTTCTTAAATCTCCATTTGCCCATCTGTAATATGGGGGCTGAGGCGTGTGTACACCAACCTCACTGTTGCTCTGAGGATCAAATATGAACCTACGAATACTTTTTTGCCTCAATAAACACTGGCCTCATCATTTAAATTAATCATCCAAATTCACAAAATAATTTTTCTGAAGATTTTACATAGAACTCCTGAAAGCTATCAGCTAGGGCAGGAGAGGGAGCAGGTATGTGCATATAGGTCCATCTTGGGCAAGACATCCGGGAAGCCACCCGCAGCCCTGGCCTGCCTCCACCCAGAGTCAGGGCATGCTGACAGCTGGGAGGTGGGTGGAGAGCCCAGGGACAGACTCTTTTCATGGCTAGCACAGAGGGTGTTTTGTAACATTTTCCAGTGGGATTGGGTTTCTTGAGTCTTTGTGAGAAAACATGAAATGGAAGGAATATTAAACTATGGTGAGGAACAGGCTTTAAACAGTGAGAAATTTCAGATCAAATAAAATCTGCTCCCCCTCACAAATTTTGGAAGCTGTATTTTTATTCCCTTTGAGGAAGAGCAGAACACTTTCAAGATACAAAGATCCAAACAGCTTTAACTCCTTTAAGATTTGACAGCTTTCTTTGGTTTCCTCCCACCTTTGAAAAGGAGTCCCAAGTTCTCAGCTCTTCACTGTCTGACATATTAATTAATGGCCTTTGGGGCCAAAAGATGTGGCTTCAAATCCTGGCTCTGCTGCTTATTAGCTCTGTGATCCTGGAAGTCAATTCACTCCTCTGAGTGCCTCAATCTCTTTACCATTGTAGCAATAATTATAAGGCTCTGCCTCAGAGATCTGTTTTGAGGCTAAAATAAGAAAATGTAGGTACTGAGATGCTTAGACAAGACTTGGCATTGTGTAAACTGTCAATAAGGAACACAAAAAAGACAAACTAAAGTCTTTTTATTACCTGCTTACCTCTTTCCAGTGTCACTTCTTGCACTTTCTAGAGTGCAGTCACCTAGAAAGATTAAATTGTTTGTTGTTTCCCACTCAACACGTGTTGTCTCCTGATTTAGTCCTCCCAAGCTGTTTTGCGCTTTTCAGCATCTCGCCCATAGTGGCACTCAATAATCTCCAGGACAAACATGTGCCTTTTGTACCTTTCACCCGGGGAGCAGTCACCTCCTCCAGGAAGCCTGCCTTGAAACCCCATGTGGGTAAGTTCTCACCCACAGCATTCTGTGCACACATGCTTTGGGCCACTGCCTGTGGCTCTAACACTGCTGATGTGCCTTTCTTCCTCTCTGGGTCACTACTACTTCTGAAGAGGCAGGCCTAAGGTGTCAGCATTCCCAATTCCTGGCACCTGGTAAGTGCTCCATAAAGGCTTTACCTCTTCAATAAGGCCAGTCACTTGCCCCCAGGCTGGAACCTGAAACTGAATACCTCCCAAGACCCACAACCCTTCACAACAGGTTCAGAAGGAGCCAGCCAACGGTCAGCCACGCCCACTTCCCCCTCCTCCTGAGTCAAGCCCTGGTTTTTGTTCACTAGCTGAAAACAGGAAGTTGGAGAATGGGGAGTTTCTTGAAATTCTTGTTTGTCATAACTACTGTCTTGTGCTGAACATGGTCATTTGGGACCGAGACAACCAGCTGTCAGATCTCATTAGAGAAACGAGGAAACCAGTGACCTCGGGGCTCATCACAGCCTCTTATGACCAGCCCATAAAAGTGCCATTTGGTTTGGGACCATGCAGGTGTTACCTTTTAAAAGGCAGGAATGATACACATGTACTGGTGGCAGAACCCAGGGGCACTCTATCACTGAGCCACTTCTCTGATTCTTTACAGTTTTAAAAAATTTTGAGCCAGTTAAGTTGCTGCAGCTAACTTCAACCTTGTGATCTTCCTGCCTTGGCCTCCTGAGCCACCGGGATTAGGGGCATGCACAGTTGCACCCAGCTAAGAGGGATCTTAATAAGCAAAGGCTAAAATGAACAAAGGAAGTCTGCCTTAGGGAAACACTGGCACACAATGACAAATGCTGGCACACTGGGGCTCCCCAGCTGCCTAAAGCTCAGTTCGGAGGCTCCCTGCTTGGCATTCAAGACCTCAGACCATCTCTGACTGCTGCTGGCATCTTGGAATATGCACCACTCTCTCCACCTCAGCCTACTTTCTGTGGCTTCTATCTCACATGGATCTATTTGTCTTCCTAACTGTAATTGAAGTTCTAAGGGGCAGGAGGCATGTCTTATATATTTGTATTTCCTTAGCTTTCAGCACAATGCTGGGCACAAAGTGGCTAATACATACACATATACACAAACACATACTTTTTCGGTACTAGGGATTGAACCCAGGGCCACTTTACCACTGATCTACATCTGCAGCTCTTTTGATTTTCATGCAGGGTCTCATTAAGTTGCTTAGCGTCTTATTAAGTTGCTGAGGTTGGCCTCAAAGTTACAATCCTCCTATCTCAGCCTCCCAAGTCATTGGGATTATAGGTATGTACCACTGTGCCCAGCTCTAATATTTTGTACATTAAAATTCCAAGACTGAGCACCCACCCACATTTCTTTCTGTCCATCAGTAAAAGAGACCTTGGAATGCTTGCTGCCTTTTAAATGTCATCTTTAGTTACGGGGTATCTAACAAAACTTGTTCCTGCTTTTTGGGGTCTAATTTTAACCTATCTGTGGGGCTTCACAAAGTATTCCAGACATCAAAAGGAGAAACAGAGTTTGGGGGAAAACCGCTGAGGATAAAATGTGGACTCAGCAGCAGCTTCCAGCCTGCCCTTGGCCTTGTGGTTTCAGTTTGGCCCAGGATCCTGTTCTCAACTGCTACGTGACACTGCTCAGTCCCTGTGTGAAGGAAAAAGTGCTTGTGTTTGAGATCTTAAGGTATGACTCCCTGACTGAGGAAGAGGAAAAAGGAACAAAGTGGTGCAAGAAAAAAGCACAGAAAAACTTTTGGGATGAATTTTTATTTGGGCTTCTCACAGTGGTTAGAGCCACTCTGTCTTCAGAACAATCACAGCACAGGAAATGCGTCACTGAGACTGCCCAGAAAAATCTGACCAGCTGAATCTTATTGCTTAAAATACACATATTCACAATAACTGACAAATGGTGATGTGCCTCACACAGGAATGTGTTAGCATTTGCAAATCTTCCGACTGTAGCACCAAACCCTCCACCAATCCTTTCCTTCTCATTCATCTGGAAAACCAGACTCAACCTAGTCTCTCTGACCCCCGTCAACCTAGTCTCTCTGACCCCCGACTATTCCTTCAGTTCCCTGTCTCCTTCTCTGAGCAGGAAGCCTCCAGCAGCCGTGGCCAACTGCGGCTTACTAGGTAAGCCCAGCTTGGCCACTGTGCTTCTTCTCAGGCCTTCAGGGTAAGATGCTTCAGTGAAGCCAACAGTCAACACTCAGACCAGCTCCCCGCTGGGGAAAGAAACTTAGAGGGTCAGATTCATCCATTTGATCAGTTAAATGAAGAAGGATTCCTTTTGGTAAAACTTGTTCTCCTTGGAGACACTTCAGTGAGTTGTCTGTGATTTCGAAAGGAAGGTGGAAGGTAGGCATCTGAGGACTGCTGTGCTGTGGCACCCCTCTGGCCACACGCCAGTCCGCCTGTGTCCACTGAACTCAGCAAAGGAAGGATTGTGCTGTGGCACCATGAGTCTGCCAAAGCCTCCTGGCAATTCTGAGCAGGCTGATGTCTGGGCCACAGCAAGACCAAGCTTGTCACTGAAGAGCCAATCAAGCTTCTGTCTGAATTCCACTTTTGCCTTCTGTCCCAAGTGGTTGTGGACACCTTCTGGGGGCTGAGATCGAAGGCAATGAGTAGCGGAGGGAGGCAGACAGGTTCAGAGCACGCTTCCATTAACAGGGACAGAACACAGGCCTCTGAGCGTCCACGGAGCAATGTGCAAATTGCAGTGATGAGCAGAGTGGAACCTCTACCTTGAGCGCAGTATCTCAGGCAAACACAGGGGGGCGCCGTCGACAATGCTGCCAAATACACTCGAGTACACAGTCAGACGTTTGTTCAGTAAACAGTAAATGCATAAAATAAATTACCTTGAGAGGGCCATATTTGCTTCAGACGTGTGGTTAACGTGAGCAGGTTGGCTGCCATTCAAAGTATCTTCACAGGAACACGGGGTGTGGGGCTCACACACGACACACACACACACACACACACACTACAGATCATTCAAAGTCATCGTCTACAGACTTCACTTTGTTCGACATGAATTTTGGTTCTGTGTAATCCAAACAGACACTCATTCACCTCACAGCCTTGGATTTGTCTGTTTATATATATATATATATATATTTTTTTTTTCCTTTTTTACTATAACATCAATGCCTAGCCTGAATATCATCATTCAAAAGTGGGAGAAGAACCAAACTTTTCATATGAACAGGGATGGATGGGAATGTTAGTTTCAGCTGATTGCTTTCTCCTTTCAGAGTTTTCCTATCAAAGCTCAACTGGTTGTCCAAAACCAGACGACAGTAATAAGGATCCTGTGGTCCTTCTGGAGGCTGCCTCCACCCTCCCACCTGGGCCACCAAAACTCCTTACATAAGTTACAGAAAAGTGAGTCACCCGACCCCAGTGGGCTAGGGACAGGGACAGAGCATGAGAACCACAGATAACCAAGGGATTTCTTCCAAGTGGTCAGTTTAAAACAAACAATCAAACACACAACAACAAGAGACTTATTCAGAATCAAAGAAAAAATACTGTGTGAGAACCAGACTACGGGGCTGCCTTTCCCAGGACCCACAGCTTCCTCAGACCCTCTGTTCATAAGAGTACAAGGAGATACAAAGTCCTGCAGACCATGTGCTAGGGATGGACAAGGACACTGGTCACCTGTGGGCACAGACCAAAGGGCAGAGATGCAGGAAGCTGCACTTCTCTCCACTCCCAGATTTAGGGCCTACTGCTCAGAGCTAACCCACTCCAAGCCCACACACAAACATCTCCCTCTGGCTCAACTGCAGCCACATTCGTGGTAGGCCAACCTGGGAAAGCACAAACTTCCCTTGTCCAGAAGAGAATTCTTGCAAGCCCACTGGTAAATTTCTTGTTTCTAGCTGGCTTTTGTTGTTTGTTAAAAAAAAAAAAAAGAAAGAAAAGGCAGTCTACTCTTCCACACCTGAGCCTGCTGGGAAGGAAGGGGCCCCTCCAGGATGCACAGTGGTACATTTTCTTGTCACCTGGAATTTGAGAGATCAACAAGCCTCCTACCAACCTGTCTACCAGCTCTCATCCTCCCACAGAATCAGCTCAACTCTGGCTGTGCAGACACTGGCAGCCACAGCTGACAAACCCTAGGCCTCTGTGGCTTCCTTCTTCAACCAGGGCTAAGAAGGGTTGCTTCTGCTGAACTGAGACACAACAAAATTCTCTTAAACTAAAACCAGAGCATAAATCCACTACATCACCAAGAATCATCACAGGACACAGTCCCAGTCCCCTTCTTTGGGGGCTTTAAAACACATCTCTCTGACCAAAGCAGGTAGGTGAGATATGACTTGAAAGGGGGGAAGAAGGGGATGAGGTGGGGATGAGGAATGAGTCATGGAACCAACTTCTCAGCCCTCCACAATACTGTGCTTTTGTGAGGGAGAGGCACCCACACCCCAAACTGTACTTGGAGATGTAGGAAAAAGCAGGAGAGGAGAAGGGAAAAAAAAAGTGGCTGTACCACTTCCTCTGAAAGTCACTTAATGCTTCTCTCGTGAGTCTCCCTTACCCTGGTTGCTTTGCCAAGTTTCTGGGCACAGGCAGGGCCTACTCTAGCTGGGGGAGCTGCTGCTCTGGGAGTTTGGCGAGTCCTGCTCATTGATGGTGTTGAGCAGCAGGCACGCGGGCGGCCGAGGCAGGTGGGAATGTCCAGGCTCTCGAGCCTGCTCCTCAGAGGGCTGGCAGAGCCCTTCCTCCTCATCACCAGGAGGCCTCACGTGGCAGCTGTCACAGAAGTCCAGGGGCCCATCCAGAGCATCATCAATGAGTGTGGTGAACTCTTTGAGGTCATCGTCATGATGGCCCCGGTTGCACACACACACCTCAATGCCTGAGTCACCTGTGAAGCGGCGATGTCTGCCAGGTGTCTTGTCTTTGCTATCGGGGAGCACACTGCCATGCTCAGAGCTGGAATCTTTCAGTAGCTCCTCCTTACATTCTGAATCCTTGTCCAGGAAGGCCGCTGGGTCTAGCTCCCCCAGGCCGGCCACTGAGCCACTGGGCTCCATTCCTGGGGCTTTGGTGGCTGCTCGGTCAGCTGGCACGTCAGAGGGCTCAGGATCAGCGATGCTTGGGGGTCTTGTGCTGCTTCTGCTGGGCACAGACAAGGGGCTGCTCTGTGCCCCCTGGGAGCCCCTGGTAGGATCAGCACCCGGAGGGCTGCCACCTGCAGGGCCACACTGAGGAGGCAGCTGCTGCTGCTGCTGTAGCTGGAAGGCACTGTACGGCGGGGGAGGAGTTGGAGGTCGGTTCACCACTTCCTCATAAGGAGGTAGTAAATAGTTTGGCAAAAACCCTAAAAATGGGGAGGTAGGGAGGAAAAATTACTGCACTGGCCACTGTCATAGGACAGATGGCAAAACTCATACCAAACATATGCATTGTCCCTTACCACCCCTCTAGCAGAGCCACTAAGCAGTAGCTTTGGCTCTTCGTCGTGGGCAGGGGAAGAGAGCTGTGAGCAAATGTGCAGTGAAAGAGGGACAATTTGGGTTGACCTACTCCAGCTTCTTGGCATCTAAGAGTCCCTAGAGCTGCTTCGTAAGCAAGGACTTCCTGCCTACCTGGAATTAAGGCAAAAGGTTAGGCAAATGTGGTAGATGACTAAGAACCAATTTCTGCCTGGAAAGGACCATGGGCACACAGTCTCATATTCTTTGCTCAGACTGTATCCTCCATCTATCCTCAGGCCTCAGGGTCAGGGATCCTAATTTAAGATCCTGACCACTTATTTCTTTTTCCATTCTTCTAGGTATAGTATATACAGGGCTTTTCTCTGGGAAGTTAGAAATCTGTTGTCTATCTTACTCTAGTGTGGCTGGAAAGATAAACTAAGCTGAATCTTGACTCAAAGCAAGAACAGTGGTTACCAGCAAAGGACAAGGGGCCTGTGTCATCCAAGGCTCATTGAAAACATGCCAGGTAAGTTACCTTTTGAATGTGCTGAACATCTTAAGGCACAGATGACATAATAGTACTTGCTAGCATTTATTGAGCACTTACATATGCCAGGCACTATGCTAAGCAATTAACTCTTCTAGATGTGGAAAACAAACAGTTCTGACTCTTTTATTTTGTAGAATGCACTTCACAACGGCTTGGGACAAGCTGCCCAACTGGGCCTCCATGGACCATTTGAGAGGTCACACGTAAAGAACCTCAGGGAAGTTCAGGCAGGGATTCACCAAGTTTCTTGGTTCTCAGGAAGTCCCAGCGCCCCCCAACACCAATATCTGCCCCTTTGATGGGCATCCCCTCTATGAGGCACATCACATAGCAGCAAGCAAAATGGGAGGAATTCAGGCCAATGAACACCAAATTCCAATTCACTCACATTATATTCCATCTGACTATTTGCTTTAAATTTTTATTTTATTTTTTTCTGGCAAGAACCCAGGCACTGTGAGCTCTAGAACAGACCTGAGGCTTTAGGGACCCACAGCCAGAATACCTGCTCCTCTGTGCTGAAGGAGACCCCTGTTCCTGTATTTGCAAGATTCTATGTAGGGTAAATGGGGGCAAATCCCCTTGTGCCCACAGATGCCCTGACTCTGTGCTCCTGAGCTTCTGAGGGTTGGGAATGACAGTTTTGGATACATACTGAAATAAAATGGCAGCGCTGAGTAATTGTGGGCTTCCCGGTAGGCAATCAGGTTGATTTCATGTTGCCGCTGCTGGGCCTGAAGGCGGTGCTTGGCTCGGCGGTGGTGGCAGACACAGCAGCAGCTCAGGATGATGATGATGGTCCACACTAGCCAGAACCCTGGGGAGTTGGAAGGGTGAGACAGAGAGGCAAGTACGCATGGTGAGTACCAGCCAGAGGGGGCAACTCTCAAACAAGGAGGTCCCTGGACAATGCCCACATGGTTGAAGCTGGCACTGTTAGACCTCATCCCATTACTTTATGTTTAAGCTATGTTCATAAATGTTTCTGCCAAACCACGTGTGGAGGCACACACTTGTAATCCCAGTTATTTGGGAGGCTGAGGCAGGAGGATCACAAGTTTGAGCCTAGACTGGGCAAGTTAGTGAGACCCTGTCTCAAAATTTAAAATAAAAAGAGCTGGGGAAGTAACATGGCTGTAGAACAACCTTGGGTTCAACCCCCAGTACCAAAAAAAAAAAAAAAAAAGAAGAAGAAGAAGAAAAAGAAAAACCAAGTTTGTACCAGAGCAAAAGATGCACAGAGAAGCGATGTGAAAATGCTGATAGCACAGGAGGTCTCTCACTCCAGGGTGCCTTGGGGACCCTGGGGGAAGGGAGGAGTGCCAGGGTGTCTCTCTAGAACCACTGATTAGTCCCATGTTTTAGGTTTTGCAGGCACTAAAAATGTTCATCTTTTAGGACAGTGTCCTTTTCCTCTTTTAAGGGATCTTAGAGAAAACACATTGCTTTCTTGGTGCCCCTCTCCCCTCCCCAACCCAACTCAGATTAGCAATTGCAAGGGGCTTTGGAGGGACTCCTGATAAAGAAATTCTTCGGGTTCTCTCAACATCGTGGAAAAGACCAGGGCTTTTTCTCTATGGTGTAAGTCTCTGTAATGCAGAATCCCTGAAGTTGGAAGTGGAAAATTCTAATTGCCTCAAGTCAATCTCTTCCCTAGAGAGTGTAAATGATTTCCTGCACTCTCCCTCTAATCCAGTACAATTCCATCTCCCACTGCCAGCATGGACCACCTCCCCTTCAGTCTGTGGCTGCACTAGACTAAGGGCCATCAGCAGACCTCCCTTCCTCCTACTCCAGGGAGGGGAGGAGGAACAGGAGAAGGCCCACAGCCCCACTTTCTCACTATGCTGTCTCCACAAACTCCAAACTATGAAACCAGGAATAAATTAGATTTTAAAATTATCTCTAGTTTTATTTTTACTGGCTTTTATTATTATTATTTGGTTCTAGAGATTAACCCAGAGGCACTTTACCATTAAGCTATATCCCCAAACCTTTTTTGTTTTGTATTTTTAGAAGGGTCCCACTAAATTGCTTATGGCTGAGTGATGAGGCTAGCTTTGAACTTGTGATCTTCCTGCCTCAGCCTCCTAATCTTCTGGGATTATAGGCAAGTGCCATCCATACCCAACTGGATTTTAATTTATTTTTAAATGTAATAAGTTATTTTAGATAGGTCTTTCAGTTCCTCTGGTAATGAGGTAATACAATGAAATAATAGGAATAATTTTTAAATGATGTGTAGAATATTATTTTTGACATATAAAAAGTTTGATATTAAATTAAAAATACAGATTATAAAACAATATAAAGTATGATCACAACTTGATTCTCATTGATTTAAGGCATTTTGTCCCACCATTTCAAATGTGGGACACATATAAACACTTAAATATAGTACATATAATTATATAGTAATATTTATAAATTTTGGATTATGATTTCCAACCTATTTTAATGCACCTGTGTCAATTTTGTTGAAACATTCACACAATTGAAAATTTGGGATTAACTGAGTGGTGGTGGTTATTATTTTCGTAACTAGGGATTGAACTCAGTGGTACTTTACCACTGGGCTACATCACTAGCCCTTTTTATTTTTGAGACAGGATCATGCTATCTTGCTTAGGGCCTTGCTAAATTGCTGAGGCTGGTCTCGAACTTGTGATCCTCCTGCCTCAGCCTCCCAAGTTGCTAGGATTATAGGTATGTGTCACTGTGTAAGGAGACTTACTGTTTTAATAAGACCAATGAAGTCCTAGATACAGAATGATCATAGATTTAAATTAAAATATGATGTACACAAATATTCTTATATGCCAAGTCTCCATTTATCTTTTTTTATTGTTATAGATGTTATTTTAATTCAATCATATAATGAACCAATTTTTGCTTTAAAAAAGTAGGACTAACTGCTGTTGTATATTACCTACATCACCTCACAATCCCTACACTTCTGGGTTACTTTGTAAATTTTTTTTCTTTTCAGATGGGGGTCTCAGCATGTTGCCCAGGCTGGTCTCAAAGTCATGAAGTCAAATGATCTCCCACCTCGGTCTCCCAAATAGTTAGGACTATACAGCCACTCTAGGGTTGGCATGATGGTAAACACACATAATACTAGCTTCGGAGGCTAAGGTAGTAGGATCTCAGTTTGAGGCCAGTCTTGCAACTTAGTGAAAATAAAAACTGAAAAGTGCTGGGGACTGAGCACAGTGGTAGGGTGCTCCTGTGTTCAAGCCACAGTACTGGGGGAAAAAATAATTACATTCTAGTCAGGTGTGGTGGTGTGTGCCTGTAGTCCCAGCTACTTTTGGGATGGCTGAGAGAGAAGTATCACTTGAGTTCAAGAGTTTGAGACCAGTCAGGGCAATCTGGGCAACATAGTGAGACCTGGTCTAAAACAATAAATGAATGAATGAAAATAAAGTGGTTTCTCCCATAAGCTAATCAGTATCTATTTTTTACCCCACAAAGTCATTTTTTCAGTAGTTCCTTACCTAAAGGTGAACCAACTTCTAAGTTTTATACTGCAATACACACGCTCTAAGACATTATTTCTCAGTTTTCATAACTTTTTTTTTTTTTTTTTTGCAGTGCTGGGGGGCCTCCTGCAGGCTAAACAAGTGCTCTACCACTGAGCTATGCCCAGACTGACTTCAAACTTGCCATCCTCCTGCTTCAGTCTGGGATTCAGCTGGGATTACAGGCATGTACAATGAAAACCAACTTTAAAACTTGTTTTTAACCCACACACTGGTTTTCGTGTTTGTCAAATATTCCTTGTTTTACCTATTCTGGGCATTAAGTAGGCTTTAACTTCCTGGCCCCTTTTTGATTGGCTGAGACTTTGGGACTAGTTCTAAATACTGCATTGAGATTAGAAGTGACTTGTCATTGAGAGACCAGAACAATTCTTACATATGTAGGACCCTCCACTAGTCTAGTTTCCTATGCTGTGGCAATTGGCAGCATTCCAGATGGTCACTTCAGGGTCAGTCAGTCTGGGTCCCAGGGGATGCTGAAGTGGGAACAAAGATGTCATCCAACCTTCAACAGATGTGTAGTGTGAATGACAAACACATCTATTATTTTAGGTCACTAGAATTTTGGACATGTTTGTTCCCACAGCAAAACCTAACCTACTCTGACTGCCAGTGTGTTGTAGTACAGGGTTTTCTGAGGGAGAGAATTTAAAGTTATTCATCAATTCTTGAAGGAATCTTTGATCCAGAAAGATGTCACCACTTCCTACAAGTCTTTTTCTCTTTAAATAAAAAATTAGGGAGAGCAGAAGGCAACTGTGGGGAGAAATAGGACAAATGAAACACAAACTTTTGGCAAAGTTACCTGCATCACATCTAATACGGCACCAGAAAACTCCCATGGTTAGTGAAATTCCACCAGCCTACATCTTTGTTCTGTTTTGCAGTGCTGGGGATCAACCCCAAGACCTCATGCAAACTAAGCACATATCTTACCACTGATCTACACTTCCAGTCCTAGCCTAGTTCTTTTCATTTGATATTATGGGAAGAAAAACTATCCTTAGTGTATATCAGCTGTGTGAGGTTATATTAGTTTCAAACAGAGTTATAATTTTTTTTTTTTTTCATTTCTAACTCAAGACCACAAGGAATTCTCTATGTGGATCAAAACTGGAAGAAAACTAACCTGGGAGTAGAATGGGTTTAGTGGTATGGCGAGTTGTCTGTATGGGTACAGAAAAGACCCCTAACAAGCTGGTCCTATTTGATTTTAAGTAAGGCAGGTGTTTGAATTTGGCCTTCAAAAATCTGACTCTCTTGAAAGTCATTTTAGTCAAAGTTGTAACGCATCAACTTCAAAAGGGAGAATATGTAAACTAGTCCATATGGAGATAGTCAAATTTTAATCTTCTAGCTAGATTTTAAATACAAGGCAGAAAAGTTTTAGAAAGTAAAACCTAGGCCAGGTGCAGTGGAGTATGCCTGTAATTCCAGGCTGAGGTAGGGGGATTGCAAGTTCAATGACAGCCTCAGAAACTTAGCAAGGCCTTAAGCAACTTAGCAAGACCCTGTCTCCAATAAAATGTTAAAAAGGGCTGGGGATGTGGCTCAATGGTTAAGTGCCCCTGGGTTCAATCTCTGGTATAAAAAAACCAAAAGTAAAACCTAATTTAAGACATACATAAGAGGAATTTAGGATTGTTCCTCCCATACCCCTAAACACACATCTACCCACAGACTCTATTCCACAATGACAGCCTTTAAAGTTGTGACCTCACTGTGGGGAGCATTTACCATCCTAAGCAAAATGGAACACGTTTTTAAAAACAATCACAGTCCAATGTAGGAACTAAGCCGTGTGGCCCTGCTAGGGAGCTGAAGCATACTGACAGTCAGCTCCCCTTTCATTCCAGAGACGGTGGGTCACTTCCCTACCCATTAGAGCGCTCAGCAGCAGGAGTTCCTGCTACTCCCTCTGTGGAGAAGGCCTCGATTTAGGCAACGAAGCCTTCGGAGGCTTACGATTTCATCTGAAAGACGGGTGAGCTGTTCTATAAGCAAGACTATCAACCCGAAGAAGCTGCAGCAGGTGGCCTGGGATTGAACCCAGTCCACACTAATCATTTCCCAGCTTCATGCAGTTGGTCATTTTGTTTTCACTTCCCTCATCTGTAATGGGGGAAACGGTCTCCACCACTTAGAGTACTCAGAATTATGTCTGATGTACGCTAAGTTCTGTAGCTTATTATTATTGTTGTTTCAGGCATAGTCAGAGTTGGGAAGAATTTCCTTTAAATTTCCCTTTTAACCTGCTAAAATATTCCACAAAAAAACATGGGTTAGGAACACATCCAAAGTCTGTTTCTAGGTTCTGTTCTTGGCAAAACTGACTGGAAATTCAGGCAACTCCCATTTACTGAGTCCCTGCCATGAACACGGTGCTGTGTCAGCTTGCTGATAGCAGCTCCCCTGCTCTGATCAGCGCGCCTTTGCCCAGAGGCCTAGACCACTAGGAAGCTGAGCTCCAACTGGGGCTTGGAAGGAGGTCCCAGTTTCCCGCTGGCCAATCTGTTCAGCGCAGCTCAGCAATGACATCTCAAGACAAACTAAGAAGAAAACTGGCTCATACATGTATTGAAACACCACATTGTGCCCTACAAATATGTACAATTTTTATGTGTCAATTTTAAAAATTAAAAAATTTAATTTAGCAGATGAAAAACAAGCTGGGCAATATTGACTGTTTTAAAAAATATGTATTGACTGGATTTGCTAACAGTCTGTTTCATGTCACCTCAGGAAAGTATACTGTCCAGAAACACTCCTTTCTCCTCACAGAAGCCCAAATCAGGGAAACCTGAAGCTTGAGTGAAATTCCCCCCAAATTTCCCAGGGGGAGAAATTCCAACTTTGACTTCTCTCCAGAAAATGTAGCTTAGTAAGTGGAAAGAGTGCTGGGATGAGAACTGGGAGATCTGGCTTTTTGGCTTTGAGGACATTCCTGGACTCGCCAGGTCTCCTTTGCTTTACTTGTCCCCAGGAAACTAAATGTGCACATTGAGCCATTTGAGACCCTCTGCGACCAGAGCCCATCTTTCTTCCAGCGTGGCAGATGGAGAAGCCCTAGAAGAGTGGCCGAGGGGTGAAGTTCACTCTATTACTCAGCTGCCACCAATGGAGCAGTTCCTTAATGCCCTCAGCCCCAAGAAATGGGCATGGCATGCATACCTGGCAGGGTTGTTCCTCAGGTGGAATAAGATGACACTGGGAGAGTTCTAGCCACACAAGTTCCCCGTCTTCCCTTTCTTCCCAGGTGAGCAGCACAACTCCAGAACAGTGCTGCTTTCCCAAAGGGCCTTGGCTTATGGAGACACATATCCTTCTCCACGTGTGTTAATCTTATCCACCCTTTAAGGCCCACTTTAAATGCAATCTTTTCCATGCAGCCTGCCTGGAATCCAGTCCAGCCACCGCAAACTGCTTTTGAATGATCACAGCAGAACTGGCAAATACATTCCATCTCCACTTCACATTACTAGGTGGACATCTTGTCTCATCTCCTCTCTCTGCTTGATTACCTTCCTGATAGCAAAATTGACGTTTCTCCCACAGATTTTAGCATAGAAGAGGCCACAGCATCAACTAGGAACTTGCTAGAACTATAATCCTCGGGTCTACCTCAGACCTATTGAATTAAAAACTCGGAGTAGGGTCCTGGAAATCTGTGTTTTAATCAGAACTTCAAGAAATTCTGATGCCATAGAAGTTAAAAAAAAAAAATGGAATAAGGGTTTGCTAAATGACTGAATGATAGAATGATGAATTAAAGTACAAATGTCATACAAATGCATGGATATAATAATAATTCATAGTCTTTACATAGTCTCAACCAATGTGTTGGTAAAATGGGATCTTCAGTTCCTTCTCACACAAGACCAGTAACTGGTTTAAGGTTACAACAAATTAAAACCTTGCTGGCCAAAGCTCAAGGTCAGTGTGTGCTTGTGTGTTTGTGTAAAGGGTATGTGTGTGTGATAGACCTTAGCATACAGGAAAATTAAGCCCAGCAGAGGTATAAGGGTAGGTGAAAATGGCATTCCCCCCCACGATCTTCCCTTAGGCAACTACAGTTAAAGAGGCACCTTGTCTGATGAAAACTCTGCCAAGGATTTCCTGGCTCAAGTCTTTTCCTTCCAAAGGAAGGGTGGCGGGAAACCAACCCCAAAGTCTGATACTTTTACTTTTCTGGCCAAGTTGAGAGGCAATCAGAGGGAATGGTTTAAAGCAATAAAAAGTGTAGTCTTGCTGAGAACTTCATGGCTCATTGTAATACCTGACTTCTCTCCTATACACCTTGGGCAGAGGCCAGGCCCCAAACAAAGAGCAAAACCAAAATAGCTCCTGAGAGGGACAGACTACACACCAGACATCTCCTGACCAAGAAGTCACTGCTAGACACAAATGAAAAGTCTGTTTTGCTTTCATAGTCTTGGTCCCTTCAGCACTTGGAAAGCAGGTACCAACTTGTATAATGGGGAATCTTTTTTCACCAGCAGATGCTAGTTTCTGTCTGGCTTCCCATTTCCCCACCTGATCGTAACTGGACAGAGAATCAGCCAGCTCTTCCTCAGACCTTCTTTAAGTTCTTGGAGTGAAGCACCTGCTTCCCAGACTACCTCCCTGCCATCTGGGACTCCACCACCCTCCCGGTTGCCCAGCCCTGACTTTGGTGACCAAACTTTGCTCTGCTGATGGCCCAGCAATCTGAGCTGGGCCATCAGCAACTCCACTTCTTTCCACAACTGATGCTGCCTGGGCTGGGCCCCAGAAAAACAAACTGTAGTTCTGTGGCTTTTTGGCAGCCCAGCTTCAACTTTTGTTTTATCAATGGGTGGGAGGGGAATTTGAACTCTGTGGTTATCTGCATTTTAAAACATTTAAACAGTCAGTCCACCTGCTTGGCACGTCCTGTTCTTTGGTCAATTTTCTCAGCCCTACCCTTTCTAAAATTTCAACAATTCTGTGCCCTCCTTTGTTACTATGTATGCATATATGCAGGCCTAGTGGGGACATAGCCCTGAACCCTCTGCACTGGACTGCTCCTGGAATTCCTTTGGAAGGCAGTTCTCAGTCCTTGAAAGGGAAAGGTGAGGGCAAGGGAGAGGTTCTGTTTGGAGGACCCACCCTTGCTGGCTATAAACGACAAGTGCATTTCACAGGGAGACACTTCCCAGACAAGAGTCCAGTTTTATTGCCAGAGCAAACAACATTCCTAGCTGCTCTCCTGTCATATTGCTGATGTGGGGGAAACAGGGAGAGAGAAAGGAAAAGAGGGCAGGGTGATGGCAGGAGTAGTGACACAGTTTGACAGAAGAGTCCAAAGTTTGTTTCCAGATGGAGGCAGGGATGGGTGCTCAGAATCAGGGGTAACAGTTTCCTCTCTCAAGAGATACCTAGGAGAACTGCAAGGTCAGTACCTTGGGCTTCTCTGCCCTAACAACTCCTTCATCTTCTGATGACTGAACCCAGGGCACATTAGGCAAACACTCTACCACTGAGCTACATCCCAGCCCTTTTTTAAAAATTTGAGGCAGAGTCTCACCAGTTTGCCCAGACTGGCTTTGAGCTTAGAATCCTACTGCCTGTCTCCCTAGGAGCTGAGATTACAGGCATGTGCATCATACCCAGTGCATTCTCCCATTTTTTTGTTGAGCAGCCTACACCGTCTCATCTAAGTTCCAGGAAAGTCAGAGTACAAATTATGTTAGTTGAAGACACCCTAGGTTGCTCCCCAAAGACTACAACATTACCACCATCAGGCAACTGTGGAAAAGGCAAGTGGTCCTGACCTCAAACAAATCCATGGCAAGCCGAAGATTGTTTGCCATGGCATTTAGCTGACAGTAACAGATTAGATACACTGCAGAAGCCTCCACAGGGCTGGGATTGTGGCTCAGTGGTAGAGTGCGCACCTAGCATGCTTGAGGCACTGAGTTTGATCCTCAGCATCACATAAATGCAAAATAAAGACATTGTGTCCACTTAAAACTAAAAAACAAATATTAAAAAAAAAAAAGAAAAAGAAAGAAAGAAGCGTCCAGATCCTTCAGTGTAAGAACTAGGGAAGGAATAAAGGGGCTGAAACTCAGGACTCCCTTTTACAAGGAATATTCCACAGGCCAGGGCCTAGGGGAAGACTACTGCTTTGAGATGGACCCTCAGAAAACAAAGGCAGCTCTAAGAAGCTCTATGGGGAATTCTGAAAGTCTCAATGGATCCTACAATAAAATGACATTATGGCCACCTAAAGCTCAACCTGCCATTCACAGCAGTTCAGTGGCAGTAACCTCATTTAGCAAAGACTGGCTTGAGGAAGTCCTCAACACACAGGAGAAGGCACCAGGGAGAAACCCATATTCCCATGTCTTCAACCCATGGCATTCAGAGAGCACCAGAGCCACCTCCTCTACCAAGGAGTCACTTCTGGCACCCAGAACCAGATTCTACTCACCAACACTGTCCCTAAGAGAATCAGAAAAGGCCGGCCAGCCCATGGTTTCCCAGTGAGCAGAGACAGTAACCGGGACCCGGGGATGCTAAGAACCTCCTGGGCAAGGACTTACACCAGAGTTCATAGTAGTAGTTGCAGCACTGAGACTGTCCACAGCAGTGTCCTGTGTCACAGATGTAGCTTTGATTGTTGGTACCCACACAGGCTTCCTTATCCTAAAAAAAAAAAAAAAAGAAAGAAAAAGAAAAATCAAGAAACATTTCAACAGAGTAATCTGTAACTTATTTTTTGGTACCAGGGATTGAACTCAGGGGCACCTGACCACTGAGCCAAATCCTCAGCCTCCAGCCCTATTTTATATTTTATTTAGAGACAGGGTCTCACTGAGTTGCTTAAGGCCTCGCTAAATTGCTGAGGGTGGCTTTGAACTCACAATCCTCCTGCCTCAGCCTCCCGAGTCGGTGGGATTACGGGCGTGCACCATCATGTCCAGCTAATCTACAGCTTTTAAACACCACTTTTCTTCTTACCTCCCTCCCTCTTGGTTATCTGCATGTCCTCCCCCAAAACTATACCAGTGTTTACTCCTTAAGGAAAAAAGTTAAAAAGAACCACACAATAACAGCAAAGTTAAGAAAAACAAATAGGCTGACCAAGGGGGAAGAGAACCCAGCACACAAAGGTACAAAGCGAGGTTCCACTGGGCACAGTGGCACACGCCTGTAATCCCAGTGACTTGGGAAGCTGAGGCAGGAGGATTGCAAGTTTGAGGTAAGTCTCAGCAACTTAGGGAGACCCTGTCTCTAAAGAAAAAATAAAAAAGGGCTGGGGATGTGGCTCAGTAGTAAAGCGGCCCTGGGCTCAATCCCCAGTACTCAAAAATAAACAACAACAACAAAGAAAGAAGAGGCTCCCCTTAGACAGGACAGAAAAGGGTGGCCTCACTTTCTTTACTTCCAAGCAGAAACATTTTGTGTTCCTGTGTTAAACTCAGCTGGTAGGAAGGTAATGATTCTTCTGTAATTAGTAGTATGTTCTAAATAAAACCAGCTTTTCGGTGCAACTTCCTAGAGCAATTAATGCAGTAAGGACTCCAAGATTAGCATTTAGTCAGTCATTCTGCTCTCCTTTCCAAACATATGATCGCCAAGGTTATTTACAGTGAGATTCAAAAGAGGGATTTCTAAAAAATCTGACCTTCAAATTCTTCAAAAAAGGAGCAACCCAATCAGGTGACTTGGTTTAATTTCAACTTGCTAGACATTTTTGCTTATCAAATAATCTTTTCAGAATCCTGACTAGATCCAGCATTCATACTGTCCCGTATCAGGGACAGCTACACAAAGGACACTGCTGAGTAACCATCTAGCAGTTTGCCAAATTCTATTCATAGCACTGGGAGATGAGGATGGAGGTGGACATTTTTAATATATAGTTCACATTTAAGATATGAAATGACCTATAAGGAAACCCTAACCTCAGTCCAATATTGGCGTGGAGCTACATAATGCACCTAATATTTTTAATTAGTAGTTAGTAGAACTGTGGACTGAACCCAGGGCTGCTTAACCACTGAGCTACATCCCCAGCTTTTATTTTTAGACTGGGTCTAAGTTGAGGAAACTGGCCTTGAGCTTGTAGCCCTCCTGCCTCACCCTCCTGAGCTGCTGGGATTATAGATGTGTGCCACTGCACCTAGCTAGTTTGGTATTTTAGAGACAGGGTCCCGCTGTGTTGCCTGGGCTGGTCTTGAACTCCTGCATGTAAGACATTCTCCTGCCTTAGCTTCCTGAGTAGCTGGGACTGTAAGTACGTGCCACCATGCCTGGCTTCATGCATATAATGAAACTTATAAGTCATCTGCTATAGCTGGCTTTCAACACAGCTTTATTCTTTTACTGGACATAGTCTTTGTGTCAGCCATTATGTTAGGTAAAAGACATATAAAGATGAAGACAATGGTCGTATCTTCATCTTCCTATCTTCAAGAAGCTCAGAGTAAAGAAGGAAAACCCTGCTCAGCAAAGAAACTCAAACCGCAGGACTGTATTTGCAACTGCTCAAGCTGACCCTGCCCATGGTGCACATCCGGGCGGATGGCTGCCAGTGGAAACTCAAGTCACATGGCTGGGTTCTCCTCTCTGTGTCTGGCTTTACTACACTGTCTACTTGGCCACAGACATAAAAAAGCACTCCAGTGACCGTCCACAGGGCTAATGGCCAGGTAGCCACAAGACAGTCACCTGAAGCCACAGGGAGAAGAGAAAAGTATCAGGGCTGAACACCAGATACCTGGCCTAATACAGGTCTTACCACATACCCTCACATGTGTCTTAGTCTTTAAAAGTCTCATATTCTGGTATAAAGGAGTTTAGGAAGAAAAAAACACAGAGGCTATTTGTGAACTCTGATTATAATGCCTAATAAAGGGTTCTCCTTTTCTTCACCCTCCCCAGCTCACCAAAAGCAAAAAGACACTAGCAGGTGGCTGTGCAGTTGGAGGCCTCCTCAAGGCCCAGTGCAAATGGAGAAAACAGAACTACACTTGCTGCTTTTGCTATAGCCAGCCTCTCTGACTTCAGAGCAAAACACTCCTTTGACATAGATATCAAAAAGTTTCTCCCAAGTTTACCAGGCCCTGCAAATGCCATTCTTCTGGCACTGGCTTGCAAAAGCACAGTTCAAAGTGTCCACACAGTTTCCCAAAGAGGCTGTGCTGCCTACAGCCAGCACATAAAGGAATCCAGTGACACTTCTGCCAGGGGGAAATTCAACAGATGAGGTCTGGGCTCTGACCACCAGGTGGCCAACTGGTCCCGCCCCCGGGAGGCGTGCAACAGAACGCGTCAGAAACCTAAACAAGTGGCGTCCTCTTGACCTACTGTTGTCAGCTTCTCTCTTGGCTCTTCTGCCATGAGACAGGAGGCCTGGTTAAACAAGACCCACTCAGCGTTGCTGCTCCGCCTCCACTTCCCCAGGGAAAGCAGAATGCTGGCGGCATCCTTTAATCCAGTTCCTCAAACACATTTTAACCCAGTGTACCTAGTTCCCTGTGTTCTGCTTCCCTCAAATGAAGAGTCCCCCAGCTGCCTGGGTTGGTCTTGGTTATGGGACCTGTCATTTTCTGCCGCAGGGGGAATAAAAGAAGATGGGTAGTTAGGAAGAGAGGAAGTGGGCTTGGGTGCCATTAGTAAGGAAGAAGTGAAGGACTGGGGGGTGCGAGATGTGAATGTGAGGACAGCCCCTTCAACAAGACCTGCTGTATGAAAAGAAACCTGGCAGACTTGGGTTTGGACCCAGCTCTGTCACTTTAGAGGAACAGAACTTTGGCAAGTTGGTGGTACGAAGGCTAGTTAAGATGATCTCTAACATCTCCTCAACCCTAAGCTAAGCATCACTGTCTGCCCTAGGCCTTTTATCCTGCCCACTCCAGCATCCCATCTCAGACACAGCAGCCTCAAGCCAACGCAAGAGCTCATGACGTCTATGCCTCCTTTTGCTCAAATCAACAGCAAAGAACAGTCTTGTGGAAAAGCTGCCCAGCACTCTTCCACCTGGAGCTTAATCATGGGTCACCTAAAGGGCTCTCACCTCCAGGTGGCTCAGACTGTACAAAGCTTAATGTGGTTAAGAGTCAGTTGGATCTGGGTTCAAGCCCAGCTTTTACACTAGATTTATTAACTGTGTGACCTTGAATAGTTACGTAACTTCTCTGTGCTCTTATTAGCAACAATATTCTGTAAACCATTACTGCTCTTAGAAGACCATCCAGCACCTTGCCTTCACAGTATTATTTCAAGACAGTAAAGCTCACTGTGGCAATGCAGGCTGCTCCATACAAATGAAGAAAAATAGAAGAAAGAACTGGAGAGAATAAAATGGAAAGGTGAGTATGAAAAATTCTCAGCACTCTTTATGATGATCCTTGCTTTTCTACAAAGCATTTTCAAGCACGTTATACACATTATGTTATTCAGGTCAAGTCCTGAATAGTAGATGGCAAATATCCCTCCTACTCCCTTTTTCCAGAGGATGAACTGTGATCTATCTCCCCAAGGGCTGGAGCCATGTCTCCTTACTTCCTCTGCGTTCCCAGGACAAGCACAATGCTGTTATGAGACGATGGCTCTGTCTTATTCCCCCACCCAAAGGCAGGGAAACCTAATGGGAAGACAGCACTGGCTACATATCAGTACTATTCTAAATGCTGTCCAGTGATTCTTTCTTTAAAACTTGACAGCAACCCAGTGAAGGAAGTAGTAACAGGAAGTGATGCTCAGAGAGGCTAAGTCTACATGCTAGGGTCACAGTTAGGAAACAGTCTCATCAAGTCTGTCTGACTCCATACCCTGAACTTTTTTTAAAAAAATAATTAATTTTAATTAGATATACATGACAGCAGACTGCATTTTGATTTATTGCACACTGTTGCTGCACAAATTTTCATTTTTCTGGTTGTACACGATGTAACATCCCACCATATATGCAATCATATATGTACCCAGGGAAGGATGTCCATCTCATTCCACTATCTCATACCCTGAACTTTTAACCATTCAGCTACAGCTTCCTTAAGTAATGTTATACCTCTCCGGCTGCTTAAAAAAAAAAAAAAAAAACTCAACCAAGCAAAGCCAACGATTCACTTTTTATGGAAAAGATAAGAACTAAGCCCTTGTGGACTCCCAGTGTGGAATGTGGGGCCTTCATTCTTTCCTTCAACATTTATGGAACACTTCACCGCACCAGCACTGAGCTGGGGTGGGGGACAAAATGGGCAAATGAGCAAAAAGAGACATGGCTGCTGTCCTCATGCAGCGTGTAGTCTAACAAAGGACAACGAAATAATCACACAAGATCAAACTGCAGCTAAGCTTATAAAAGATCTCAAAGCTAATCAAGAGGGTCCAGAATGGCTTCTGAGAGGAAAATAAGCTTGAACTGAGATTGACAGAATGGTCAGAAAATCATAACTAAAGAAGAGGGACAGGAAGCACATTCATGGCAGAGAAAATCGGGAGTTCTTTGGCTAGAAGGAGGTGGTTAAAGAAGTAGGTAGTTAAGAAGGGACCAGACAGTATAGGGAGGTAAACAACATCAGATTTGCATTTTACAGATATCTTCTTTTTAAAAAAGAACTTTTTAGTTGTTGATGGACCTTTTATTTATTTATATGTGGTTCTAGGAATCTAACTCAGTGCCTCATGCCTGCTAG